CCGCCGCCTGCCCCGGGACCCCAGCCAGCAGCCGCGCCGCCGCCACCTCCCGGCCTAACAGCCGCAGCGCAACCCAGCCCGCCATAGCCGCCGCCGTCGCCCGCCGGTTCCGAGCGGGAGCAGTCCGCGCCGCAATACAGTCCGCCCGACCCCGCCACCCAAGTTCCGGTCTCCTACAGGTCTGCTCCCGGCTGCGCATGCGCCTGGCTGGGGAACGAGCCCGAGAGCTCATTGTGGGGGCGGCGGCAGAATGGTTCAGTCCGTCTCCCCCCTTCCCCACGGGTGTGGGTTGTCCCTTCAATGGGCTGAAGGAGCCGGAGAATATGGGGTGCTGCAGAGCGCCCCCTGGCGGCAGGCTTCGGTCACTGCATCTCGGCCCCTAGGTTACCGTGGTCAAGCACGAAGACTTGGGAGCCCCGATTCGCACCCGGGATCCTGGCCCATTGCTAGGCAAAGTAGCTCAAAAACTGCCCAGGGCCTTTGCTCAGCCCCTTGGTACTGCATGGCAGGGGGCTGAACAACCATGGCAGTGCAGCCTACAGCATCTGACCTGGCCCCCTTGACTTCTCACAACCCATCCATGCCACTGGCACGTCTACGGCTCTGGTCAGCACGGCTACAGCTTCACCATCCTATTGCTCGAGTTGCCTTCGTGGCTTGGAGAAGCTGAACCTCCAAACCTCTCTCAGGACCCAAGCCATTCCCATTTAGACAGTCATAGACACAGCAGGACAGAAAAATAACCCAACCAGAGGCCTGATTGTTGTAGGAAGATGTTGGTGGAGGGGCTTAGTGTGGATCAACCGCAGCCCCAAATCTGAGACAGCCAAAGCAGCTCACAAAGATCTCAGAGGTTGGAGTGCGGACTCATTTCTGAACCCGATTGCACCACCTCCCAAGTGCCACAGGTTGCGTGGAGTCATAATGCAGATGCACAGAGTTGGAGGGGGAATGGAAAATATACATACAGCAGCTGTTTGGAATGTACCCATAGCCATAGTTATTTAGACATATCTCCCTTCCCCTTCATGCAGAAATACTGGGACACGATGATAATGCTTAACCATTTAAGAAACATTGGCATAGGGTTTAGAGATATGTCCATCACTGGCCAACAGGACTGGTCTTGCCTAGCATAAATAGAGATGCAAACATACTGATCCATCAGTGCTGTGGTCCATCTCATCCTGTCTTGACTTGCACAAAAAGTCAATACCAAATGCTTCCCGAGACAGTATAAGCTTTGCCCTCATAAGCAATTGTGTGATAACCTCTTCACAGGGAGGAGTTTCTTCTGAATCCCAAGTGATTAATGTTTATATTATGCCATCATGCATGAGGGGTTTCGTTCTTTTCCCCTCTTTGCTTTGTACCTAATTGCAACTGTGGATGGTTTTAGCTATATAAAAGTCTCATTTGAGTCCTGCAAAGCAGTTGAAATTAGTGTCTCGTAAGCTTTATAGTAATATACCAATTTTACATATTTTGGCATTCAGTTCAGTTGGGTGGATCAAGATGAACAATGTTCACATTAGAAATGTAATTGAGACGCAGATAGGATGACAGTGCAAGTTGTCCAAAAGACTCCCTTTTGGAGAAAGACAGGATAAAAGAATGTTTACAACATTACCACAAACTCCTCAACTTTTACTTTAAAAAAAGTATGTAGATGGGCTGTGTTAGAGCACTTGGAGATGCATACTCCAGAATAATATGGGTAGCTACAGGCTTGAGGCACAACTATTGGACTTACTGTCCTAAAAACCAGGAACATTCACACTTGAGGATTTTTTTTTCAGACCTCAGTAAATACAGAAGCCTAATACATGCAATTTGGAGGCAGATCTAAATTTCCGTGGAGTTCAATTTGTACTAATCTGGTAGAAGGAGGAAAGAAAAAGCTGTTCATGCTGGTCACCAACTTATGGGTGAAATTTTTTGTTTAAGAGCTATTTAGGATTGACATGTCTGTGGCAGCTCAAACACTCACTAATTGTAGTAATTTAGGCCTCAGTCCTTCAGTGAGAACGTGGATGCATGATCTCTTCTTGGGTGGCACCTTGATTACAAAGAATATTTAAGAGATCAGAATAGATATGGGCTAAAGTTTTCAAGACGGGTCTCTTGGAACACACAGGGACTGGGAGCGACTCACTGGAGTCATTGAGTCTAGACTCCTGCAATTGCAGGCTGTTACTGTTCAGGACTCTTGATTCACTGTTCAGAGCTTGTGGTACTGTTGTAAGTCATTATTTTGCCAATACTTCTACAAATGGGGTTCTCTCCCTCCTCCCCCCGATTAAAATGGTTGTTAAAATATACTAATGTTAACTACATTCCAAGAGAAACACACACAAGAGTTCCATACGTTTAGCTTCCAGAGAGGGCCATCATGGTCATCTGACCAGACCTACATAACACAGGCTGGAAAGTCTCACCTAGTAATTCCTGCATCAAAAATGAAAAACTGGAATTTATCTTATAACAGCATCTGCTCTCCCAATCTTTCTGCATTTGAGATACACATTTCTCTCCTGCTCTACCTCACGCTATCAAGATTATAAACCCGTGCTCAATGTTTTTGCTGAAGGTCCACACAGGAGAATAAAATATTGTCACTAGCTGTTCCCATCTTCACAACCTCAGTCCTTCTAGAGAAGGATGCTGTGCTCTCCTTTTCTAATCAGTTAAAACTCTCCCAGCTCTAGCATCCCACAGCATTCATATGGTTGAGGCACACTGATTTTTGTCATCCATATGGGAGGGACATACCTAGTGCATATCTGGCTGCCTTTCATTGCCCAACCCAGATGCCCAAGAACCATCTTACAGTTAAATCAACGAGCTAAGTCCAAAGCAGTGTTACGCTCTTTTCATCATTTCCCAGCGCATCTCCTAACCCTAGTCAGTCAATCCCATTCTCAGTTTTAGCATGTCTCTTAATGAGATCATTAAAGAAACTTGAAGCTGTCTGGCTTGCCTGGATGATTTGCTAATGAGTCTCAGGTGTTTTGTGCAAATCCATGCAGATTGGAAAGTGATCTGTAAAATCTAGCTAAAATCAAGAAGCTTTAGTCATACTCTCTTTTAGGTAGTTTAGTGTATCACTACTAGTGCTTTGCTCTTAGCCTAGAGGGTAGTTTCTGGTTCCTTGAGCTAGAATGAGAGTATATACTATAACACCAGGGCAGGGGAGGTGTCTGCTTCCTGTCTCACACCCAAATGCAAGGTCAGGGTCTCAGCTTTTTCCTAGTAAATTAAATTAAATGGCAAAACTTCCAATGACTTTTAAAGCCCAAAGCTACAACTCAGAGAAAAAACTCTCCCCCTCCCGCTCCTCCAGCAGCCCTGGTATCCTACATAGCTCTGAACAGATCCTGAGGAAAGTCCTGGAGAGAGCACTGTAGATTTAAAATCATTATATTGATTGCTGAAAGGCAGCAGAGACATAGATTTAAACTGACACTACTCCTGTGTGGTTTTATCTCCTGGCAAGTGGCCAGAATAAGTTCAAGAGCTTGTGTTTAACACTGAGCCTGCTTGAATGAACAAATTGTTTTTGATTGCAGGCTGCCTGTCACCATGTCCAAAGAGGAAAAAAAGAGTGGCACTTTTTCTTCATGTTGGCTGTGAGGAAATACTTATATTCAGGATGGCTCATTAAGGGAGATATTCCTCCCACCCATGGTTATTTACCTTTAATCAATAGTGATTATCTATTGATTTACATATAACCTATGGGGGCACTGTTCTGGCTGACCCCACTCCCACCAGTATCCATTGGGGACATCTTACTCTCAGCGGCAAAGACAGTGGATGCTTTGGGATTCTTCCTTTTTTCTGCTCAGTTCCCCACTAGAGTGAATTCAATGTGCAAAACAGCAGATGCGCTTCTCCTGACTGTGCCGCCTTGCATGATGCACTTGGAAAGCTCCCTGTTCTAGTGGTGTAGGTTTGCCTTGTAGGTTTTATCTGGTCCTGATGACAGCTTACTGTGCTGTACTGTCCTTTGTCAGTCGCTAGTCAACATTTAAAAAAATTATGAAGCCTGGCAGTTTGGAAGTTGCTCGGTGCGTTTTTTTCCCGAGTCTTTAAAGGTGGCTTTAAAGGTGGCTCTCAAGGTGGCTGCAGGAAACAAGACAGGAGTTGACTACACCATAAGGTGGCCATCATAGAGGACAATCCGGTTGTCCTCTGTCCTCTATTGATATGAAACCAGACACCTTTAAGACATAAAGGTGTTGGGTTTTGTATTGATAGAGGATTGAGGAGAGAGTAGCAGAAAACCAGAATGTCCTCTATGATGGCCACCCTACTACACCAGCTCTACAACCTTTGGGCCTGTGCTGGCCTATGTTGGGGGACTCCTAAGCCAGGGGTTGTCAGTCCATGTTAATACATTGAATCTAAAAATAAAGCTGAGGTGTAAGTGACCTGACTAGTCCAGCTTCACCCCTCAAGCTGCTCAGGATTCATCTGATAATCAAACACAGCAGAGGCGGGGGATAAATGCGAAGGATTTGCCCATAATCTAAAACATTGTTAGTAATGCAGAACAGGAAACTTTTTTTTTTTTAATACATCATCTTTTCTTCCAAGATTACCCCATTTTTACTGCTCCATACCAAGACCAATTTCTGTTGTGTACTGCTTGTCTTCCATACTGCTCCCTTAAAGAACAATACCTCTTCTAAGGAACCAGCTTGTTTCCTCCCACCGGTCTGGTGAAAGGTGGCACAGGGATGGGAAAACTCAGTGCAGCCTTCATTCTTCAGTGAGGAAAGATAGATATTCCTTATGTAGTTGTTGAAGGGGCACATCTTGCAATACCCCAGTGCCACCCTCTTCACCCCTTCCTCAGCCGTAGATCCAGACCCACACAGGGTCCAGGAGATCCTGGAGCCCTGCTGATACCAGGGTGTATGGTTGCATGGAGACATGACTGAAGACCCAACTTCTCTACAGACAAGGAAGGTCCCTTCATGGAAAGCCTGAATCTGGGGCAAACAATCTGTTTAGGAATAGAGAGAATATGAAGGAATGTGTGCTGAGGGGCATGGGGAGAGACAACTACCCAGCCTTGTGGCATGTCAATGCCCCAAGGATGATTTTGCATATTTAGTCAGTCCCCTCCCACTCTCCCCCTCCCACTCCCATTGGCTAACATGCATGACAAGCCAAATCAAGGGATATGTAGTCTCTCTTCAGAGAGGTGCCAGTAGCATATCCCTTCTACATCATCCCTGGCCCACCTATGAGC